TTTTTCCTCCTTAACTTTGACTGGGTCAGGTTGATCAATTCCTGTCTCAGCATCTTTGAGCATGTCTTCAGAAGATACACCTGCACCATGAAATAAACTACCTTTTTCGACACTTTTTCGAATAAGACTCATCAGATGTGACATGAACAGACTCTTCAACTGTATATTCTATAAGCTTTACTTGACTGAGAGTATTCGAGAAAGATACCTTCATCTGTCTTGGAGTCAAATTTTCCTAGACTCTCTTTTCCATTGTTTAACACGAAACACTTACAATCAAAGACATGAAGGTGAGACACATTTGGCTTCTGCCCTTTTAAAAGTTCATACGAAGTCTTGTTGAGAATAGGGCGGATGAACACCCTATTCAAAACATAACAAGCCGTACAAATGGCGTCAGCCCAAAAATATTTAGGAAGTCCACTTTCATTGATCATAGTTCTTCCTAACTCTTCCAAAATTTGACTTTTATGTTCCACAACCCCCTTTTGTTGAGGGGTACGCGAAGCAGAAAAATTATGATTAATTCTGTGTCTACCACAATATTCTTTAAAAGGATGATTTTCAAACTCACCTCCATGATCACTTCTAATTGATGTAATGTTAGTGTTTAACTTATTTTGAGAAAGTTTAGAAAAAATTTCAAAGGCGGAGAATGTATCGCTCTTGCTAGCCAAGAAGATAGTCCAGCAAAACCTAGAAAAATCATCGACTATAACAAAACCATAGTAGTTACCACCTAGACTCTTAATTCTAGATGTCCCAAAGAGGTCCATATGAAGAAGTTCAAGAGGTCTCGTAGTTGAAACAATGTTTTTATATTTAAACGAGATCCTTGTTTGCTTCCCCATTTGGCACGCATCACATAAGTGATCCTTGGTAAACTTGATTTTGGGTAAGCCAATAACTAGGTCATTAGAAAATATTTTGTTTAGCAAGTCAAAATTGATATGCGCTAAATGTTTATGCCACAACCATGAGTCCTCACTCATAGTCATGAGACATTTGTCGCTGCTCAATGATACTTCACTCAAATCTAGCATATAAATATTATTTACCCTTAAGCCATTAAACACATCCTTCTTTTTATAATTGTGTTCAATTATGCAACAATCTTTTAAAAAAAGATACTTTGTATCCTTTGTCACATAATTGTCTAATGCTAATGAGATTGTGTTTAAGGCCTTCGACTAACAATACATCAGAGATAGTAATAGACGAGGGATTATCTACACTACCTTTTCCAAGTATTGCTCCCTTGTTGTTGTCTCTATAGGTTACAAATCCCTTCTTCTTTGCCACAAAGTAAATTAAGAGAGATATGTCTCCTGTCATATGTCTTGAGCATCCATTATCGAGAATCCATATTCTCTTAGTAGTCTCAAGACTTTGTACCTTTTTGTTTTTCTTCCTTTGATGAGCGGAGAGACAAAGATTGACAGATTCTTCTTCGTCACTTGAACTATCATCCTCGGATGACTCGCTATCACTTTCCCATGCGATGTAAGCTATTCTAGGCTTAACTTGCTTGTCATGTGACCGATTACTCTCCTTTCCTTTGTCCTTTTTCATCAAAAGGTAATCCGGCTTGTAGTGTCCGACTTTTCCGCAATTGAAGCACGACTCTCTTACTTTACTTCCTTTGTTGTCTTCATTCTTAGAAGACCTTAATTGTTTTCTGAAATTGACTAGATTCTTTTTGGTTTTATTTACATAGCGATTGTATCGCTTCACAAACATCCTTATATCCTCATTCTTTTCGTCATCTTCGTCATCACTCGAGTCGTAATCAATCATCTCTTTTACATAGGACTTTGAACAAGAAGCCTTTAGAGCTATAGACTTCTTTTCCGTAGTTTTGGTCTTCTTTTTCTTTTCCCGTTTCCCAAATTGCTCGAGACTAAGAAGCATTTGTTCATGTTCTTGAAGCTTTCCAAAGAGTGTTAAAAGTTCCAAAGTCATAAGATCATTTGCTTCCTTTATGCCGGTGATTTTTGGTTGTCATTCCCTGGTAAGACATCTTAAGACTCTATTAGTAGCAACATCACTGGAATACCAAGTGAATTAAGTCTATTAATTAGGTGAGAAAATCTCTTTTGCATGTCAGCAATGGTTTCCCCTTGCTCCATGTGAAAGAGATAAAACTCTTGTGTCAAAGTATTGATTCTAGCTAGTTTGACATCATTTGTTCCCTCATGGGTAACTTGTAATGAGTCCCACATAGCTTTAGCAATCATACAATGAAAAACTCTATAGTATTCATCAACTCCTAATGAGGAGATCATAATATTTTTAGCCTTCCAATCGTAATTGTACTTTTCACGTCTCCATCATTCCACTTTGCTTCAGGCTTAGGCACAATCATGTTATTTTCATCGGTCATGGTTATTTCCATAGGACCGTTCAATATAACATTTCATACATTCCCGTCAATAGAATTTATATGCATGCGCATACAGTCTTTCCAGTAACTGTAGTTTTAACCGTTGAAAACAGGTGCTCTATTGTAAGCCCATTTTGGTTCGTTAGCCATTTTCTAAGAAGTTATATGTGAAGCACGGAATGAACCGGTGCTCTTGTTAAACAATGGCGCAGATCTAGAAGGGGGTTGAATAGATCACTTATTACAAACAGAGTCGGCGCTACCAAGATTTGGTTTTAAAAAGTTTTTAGGCGGAAGCGGCCGAGGAACTATATTCGTCTAAAACGAACCTTTACCGAAAAAACCAGATATACGCAAATCCTATTGAATCCAATAAAAACGAGATTAAGAATCACTAATTTGAACACACATCAACCAGAATTTATTCACTATGAGTTTAGACTATTTTTAATGCTTGAAAAATTTAACCCAATTGAAAAGACAACACAAGCGTTTGTTGTTCACACAATTAGTCAAACACTTGGTGTGCAAGGTACCACAAGTGAAATTCCAATATGCGAGTGAAGTGCTTAAGTATTCAATTACAATCAAGGATTGTAATAAGCTTCTAAAAATGGTTCAGCACTACACACATCATAATTTTGATTAACTAAATTGTTTGCACAGAAACTCAGAAATTAAGCAATTGAAAATTAAAGAGAGAACACCAATTTGTTGAGGCAGTTCCCCCGTCGTCCTCGCTCGGGGTACGTCTGTCCTCAATATATATATATATATATATATATATATATATATAAAACCTGTTGGTAAATATTTACAAGAGAAGCAATAGAATTTAAACGATCAACCCCAATTGTTGATGCAGAGCCTATTCCTTCTCTTCTCTTGATTCAAGCTGAATCAAGTCCTTCGAATGCGATGAATAAACCTCCGATTACGGCACACCCTTTGAACAACCCCGCGGTCTTTAAATATTGTCCGGTTGATTTCAATCACCAACGCTTCGAACCCGGATCTTCCTCTCACAATCCTCCGGTTACTGCTACTAAACTGACAGAACAATTCGCTCTTCGATTACCTTCGCTCGGCTGAATCTGTGATGAACCGATTCGTGCAAAACCCCCCAAAATCCAAGATTCTTGGAGGAAAAAACCTTAATGGTTTTATTAAAGAAAAACTCACTAATTTCTCAACCCAAACCCGATTACACCAATCTTATGTTTGAACGTTATCACCTCTAAATTGCAGAATGCACAACAAAAATGATTATGTGTAGTTGTTGAGAAAATGCAAGAAAGAAGATGAAGATGATGAGAACAAAATCAGTGTCTATTTTCACTTTTCTTGTTGTTGTTTGAAGAATAAGCTAACTCAATATATATACAAGTCAAAAACAATTAACCAACACAACAAACACCTAGACAGTTTCTCATAACAGAAATTTGACCAAAAACGCGCGAACGGTCGACCTATACATAGGGAAGGGTCGATCTGAGCTCACCCAAATTTCAGATTATGCAGAAAACAACAACTTGTGTCGACTGGAACAGGTCATGCGTCGACGCAAAGCATACAAAATTAGACAGACAGAAATGGACACAGTATGAGCCGACCGGAGGGTCGACACGAGCACTCCTGAGAGTATACCATGCAAAATACTTTTTGTATGTGTCGACCGGAACAAAGTTTGAGTCGACTCAAAGACATAAAATATGTAAAAATGCATATTTTCATGTATTTCACTACTTTTGAGATACTCCACCATATAGTAAGCTAGATAAACATGACCAAACCTATATGGAGCATATATTGAACAATTTCTATATGTATCAAACAATGTTTTTGACCGATGTTTGACTCAAGAGGAATAAGGCATGCATATGTGACACAATGATATCGTCCAAAATACATTTTTCTACCTATCTAAATTTTAATATCATTAAAACAAATATAACTAACTATGAGGAACTTTGCCCTCACACTGACAACCTTTGGACTTAAACATCAAAAAGAATGAAAACAACTTCATATTTTTTGAATTTTTAAATAATGATTAGTAAACAACAGAAACACAAGTAAAGATGATATTATATAGATATGACAAATGAGGTGTGACACATTAATGGAAAAAATTTCCCATTCAAAAACCAGAAATTAGAATTCACAGAGTACGAGGTTCATAACAAAGATTACAAACTTTGCTTCATTGTCTCCAATCAACTACAATACCCGATCTTTAGCTTCTACCACTGATCTATTAATCTCAATTTTTTTGAATTTTCTATACATTCTAATGGGTTGGATGGAAATGGTTATTAGTCCATTTTTGCTATCAGAGTTTCTAACAAGTGACATCAAAATTTAGGTTGAAACTAATAATGGCTGTGAAAGTTTAGCAATATGCAAGTATATTGACACGAGAGAGAGTCTTCTATGTTTTATTGACAACTTCAAAATCATTATGCAACACATTCATGAAGTAAAGGCTTAGAATATCTTGTATATAACGAATTTATGAATGTTACTCATGTTTAAAGACAACAAAAATCCGCCATAGGAAACGTTACATTCTAAACAAATACCAGAGTTGAGAAGCTGTTCTATCTATCTATCACCTTCAACTGAAAATTTCATAAAATTTCTCGGTGACGAGTAAACCCGAGTCTATTGACTCCAAAGGATCCTTTCTAAGACGGTGTCTCAAGCAGTTAGGGATGACAGTAGCAATATCCTCAACACTCACTTTGTCTCTCCCCTTCAAAGCAGCCAAAGCTTTAGCAGCTCTATTTGATACAATGTCTCCTCTCAATCCATCCACGTTCAACTCTGCGCACACCCTTGAGATTTTCACTTTCAGATCTTGATCGATTTGAACTGAAGAAAGTAAACTCCTTGCTGAGGTGATTTGTTCCGTGAGCTTCGCTTGCTCGGCTATGTAAGTCTCTCGAAATTCCTTCGGGTTCTTGTCGAACCTAGCTCTCTCTTCTACAATCTTCACTCTCAGTTCAGCATCTCTAACAGTCCCCACTTGAGCATGCATTCCAAACCTATCAAGCAGTTGTGGCCTGAGCTCCCCTTCTTCAGGATTTCCCGAACCGATTAGGATAAACCGAGCAGGATGCGAGATAGAAATACCCTCTCTCTCCACTGTGTTCCAACCTGATGCAGCAGAATCCAACAACACATCAACTAAATGATCATCCAAAAGATTAACTTCATCGACGTATAAGATTCCTCTATTAGCTTTAGCGAGTAGTCCAGGCTCAAATGCCTTGACACCCTCAGTAAGAGCTTTTTCGATATCGATTGTTCCACAAACCCTATCTTCTGTAGCTCCTAATGGCAAATCAACCATGTTAATTTTGCTCAACACAATCGAAAGTTGCTCTCCTTTTATTACTCGGTCTCGCACTTCGATTCCCATGACTTCTGGATCTTCTGGGTCTGAGTTATATGGATCACCAAAAACAACTTTGATTTCGGGAAGTAAATCGACCAATGACCTAACCGTTGTGGATTTCCCGGTTCCTCTATCCCCCATAATCATTACACCTCCAATCTTAGGATCGATGACGTTAAGGAGAAGACAAAGCTTCATCTCATCCTGTCCAACTATAGCAGCAAAAGGGTACACTGGCCTCTGGCTTTCTTTAGCAATAGTATTCAGACCCTGGATATCAAAAGTTCATAATTGAATATAATCAAAATAACTTAAATGTGTTTCTCAGATAAAATAAGACTATGATTCTTCACTATAAGAAAAATCTTTCTAAGCTTATACATTGTAAGCAAGTTAAATGAGAAGGCTTTTGAAAAACAAAAGTTAACTGAAGCTTATTGCATACACACTTATCATATAAGTGTTTATATAAAAGTAGTTTCTATAGCTAAAGATAAAATAGAGTTAAGTTGTTTTCAAATAAGCTATAAGCTGGTTCAATAACTATTCCACAGAGCTTATAGATATAAGCTGAAAGTATCTTATGCACATGACATCCTAACCAGTTGCACATGTGCTTATGCCACATACATTGTTTGGATGAACAATTTAACTAACAGCTTATAGCATAATCACTTATCCTATAAGTGCTTATGTAAAAATAGTTTCTATAATAAAACATATAATAAAGTGAAGTTGTTCTCATATAAACTATTAAGCTGCGTTCGTAAACTATCCTAGAGAGCTTATGTATATAAGCTAAAAACAACTTAATGGGCCATAAGTTGTTTCCATAGGCTCACTCAAAAAGTCGCACAAGTGCTTATGCAATTCAATTCATAATTTGCTAAAAATGGAATATCCCTTAACTAAGTACCTACCTGTTCTACAGAGTTAACTTCAGTAGCAACATTGAGAACAGGAAACCGAGACTTTCCCTTTGTGCCATTAATTCCAATTCCTCCACAAAACTTTCTACCACAGCTTTGCCCTACAAACCCAACCATTCAATGTATATTCAAATCATCACAAAAAAAAAAAAAAACACAACTTTAAGACACAGAAACAACATATATGAAACGGGTCATTCTCAATTCATTCTCACCACTACTGCATAACCTCAAAAAATAAGAAAAAGGATACGATACCTGAGGTTAGAGAGAGTGTGTGAATGGAAGGGTTGGAAGAAGGGGAAGAAAGGTAGCGTGAAGGAAGAAACGCAATTGAAGAAGTGCCTAGTGTAGTGGAAGCCATAGGTGAAGGTGAAGAAACACAGTTTGTTTGTGCTAAGATTAAGGTCAGTGTTTTATTCAGTGGACATGGCAGCTGGCATGTTTTCTATTGGTTTCCAACCATCAGGATAAGAAGATAGATTCTCTCTCCTTTTTGGTAAGATGTAATAAAGGGGGTGTCGTTCACAAAATGTAAATGTGTGTTTAGTGATTAGATATTGATATCTTGCAAATACTTGTGAGTATGTATCTTAATAGCATTTGAATTGTTTATTTTAGAAAAATAAGTAATGTGTTTTTATCATAAGTATGTCTTTTTTTAATAAAATATTGAAATTATTATAATTAAATAATGAATGATTATTAATACATCTTTTTTACAAATGTTTTATACATATAGAATTCAAATTATTAAAAATTTGCTAATGTATTAAGGTTGTATTGTACTCTAAATTTTAAAATTTTCACATATATTAATGGGTTGGTATGTCAAAGTTGTTAAGTATAACAAGTGTGAGTAGTATGCGTAATAGTTTTATATTGAGTAGAAATGTGGAGACTTGAGCATTTATAAGTGGGAGAACCCATACACCTATCATCTTAAAATTTTGGGTGAGTATGTGGTGTGTCTCTCACAAAGGTGTTGCTCTAAGAAAGGAAAGTCCCACAATATTCAATGCTCCCTAGTTAACAAGACACCCCAACAGTGGTATCATGAGCTTCAGGTTCGAGAAAAGGTTGTGGGTAAAATGTCTCGTTGAAGAGTGTCAACAGCGGTACAAGTGTATGTTGAAGCAAGAAGAACTTTAACTTAAGGGGGAGCATTGTGAAAGCACTGTGGATAGACTCACACTTGAGGGAGAGTGTTAAGTATAACAAGTGTGAGTAGTATGTGTAATAGTCTCACATTGGTTAGAAATGTGAAAACTTGTGAGAGAACTTAAACACTTATCACCTTAAGATTTTGGGTGAATATGTGGTGTGTCTCTCACAAAGGTGTTGCTCTAAGAAAAGAAAAGTTTCACAATGTTTAAGGCTCCCTAGTTGAAAAATCTCCCCTAACAGTGGTATCATGAGCCAGATTCGAGTAAAGGGACCGACTTACATGTATAAAAATACCCAGGAAGTGGTGTCTCGTTGAAATCAAAATGTTCGAGAAGAGGTGTATCAAAATGTCTAATAAGAGGTTCCTAGTAATAAGTGTCAAAGGCGGGACAAATATATATGAACAAAAGAGTTTTCACTTAAGGGGGAGGGGGGGTATTGTGGTAGACTCACACTTGAGGGGGAGTGTTAAGTATAACAAGTGTGAGTAGTATGAGTAATAGTTCCACATTGAGTAGAAATATGGAGACTTGAGCATTTATAAGTGGGAAAATCCATACACCTATCACCTTAAAGTTTTGGGTGAATATGTGGTGTCTCTCTCACTTGTGTTGCTCTTGAGCCAACGTTCAATGCTCCCTAGTGATAAACTCCTCCAAAAAATGTGAATGTGAGTATGAGTTTTATATTGGTTTGAAAAGTAGTCTTAGCTCGAAGGAATAATACAATTGTCATATTGTATAACATAAGAAACACTGTGAATAAATACTTTGAAGGTAGATATATTATATGTTATACAAAAAGAATGTTAGTGTTAATTGATTTGGTAAATTCAGAGTTTTATTTATTCATCGAGAATGTTTTCTATTTGTCTCTCTCCTTTAGGTAATACATGTTTAGTATAATATATGGAAATGTTGAAGTTGATAGTTGTGATGTTGGAGTTTGTTTAAAGTTCTGCGTTGTTTAGGTTTTTGGGTTGTTAAGTGTATATATGTGAGGGAAACCTCACCCTTTAAGTTAACTTTTAGGGTTGAGATTCAAGTGTCGCAGCGCAAAAAATGTCCAAGCGTACTAACGCTCGAAATAACTACAGAGTCGTCAATGAAGTTTTATTTTTTAAAGGGAAATGTCGATAAAACCCTTGAAAAACAGAAACATGATCATCACAACCAGTTTCGGATTCGGGAGTAGATTATGCGATGGAAAGATAGTAGCACCCCTCACATTCATTATACTCAACGAGAACCTTCTAATTAGTTTAGGGAAAAAAGTGTTTAGCTTTAAGATTTAAAGATGTTTGCAGTTCTCTTTTTATTAAAAGATAATTACAAAATGACAGAAATTTTAGTTTTTTATTAATGGGCTTAATGATATGTTGAGTTTTGCTCTTATGTATCCCCATATACGATGGGAAACTCAAAACTGCGTAGTTCTTTTTAGAAAATGTTTATCTATTGGTTGTTTTTAGAGAATAGTGTTTAAGTCACATTCGAGCGGTTAAACATTTATTTGTATGCTCGCACTGTGGAGGCTGAAGCGTGAGTTTGTATTTCGTGTCAGAATGAGTAAAGCGCTATCCTTTTGTAAAAAAAAGTTTGTTTTGGTTGCGTAAGGGGAAAAAAGGTTAACTTGATGAGTTTAGGTTATTTTTAAATGCGGATGATAAATAACCGATTTGGACAAAACATACGCTAAGCCATCGAATGTTCGAGAAACAAATGAATGTGCATTCATCCATTCCTCTTTTAATCCTAAGTTTATTAAGAAACTTGTTTGCGGAAGACAAATAATCGTTAAGACAATGCATGCGTCAAGCCCTCGATTATTCGACAAATAGGTGAATGTGCATTATTCAACAAATAGGAAATTTTAAATTAAAATGAAATAAAAATATTTTTGTATTTTTATTTTGGGTATTTTAATATTGACTTTTTTGTATTTGTAAATGATTTTAATAAACATAATACTTGGATTAAAATTAAATAAATTAAACAAAATAAATCAAATAAATCTAAATTATCTAAAATAGATAAAATAAATAAAGTAAATAAAATTCAGGGAGTACAAAAGGAATTGGGGGATTGCATCAAGGCCCAAATGGCCCAAAACTCTCAACACATATCAATTAGGGGTGTGTGGAGAGTAAACAAAGGGTGTTATAGGGCCCAATTGGTCCAAGGTTAGACAATTCTGATTAATCTTTTAAAATAAATCAAAATGATAATTACAAAACAAATTATAAAAAAAAAGTAAACTAAAATCGTAAATAGAAAAAGAAAAAAAAGAAAATACTAATAAAACAGATGTGAACACTGAGAGAGAATCATTATCCTCTTCTTCTCCAAACATGCCTCCATAATTTTTTTTCTTTCACTTTTGGATCCATGAGGTGGTGCGATTCATGCTATCGCTGGTGGATTTTCTTCTTCACTTTTTTTTTTTTGTTTATTTTGTTTTGTTTATGATGTGTGTTGTTGTTTGGAATTTGATGTTTAGATAAGGGATTTAGTTTTCATGATCTTTCATTTGTTGTTTGGGATTTATGCATGCCACCAACATACTCCCAATTACCAAGAGCTATGCCACTAGAATCTGCATGGAGCCCAAGTGTTATAAGTCGATCTTCCCTAAGAAATCAGGCAAAGAAATTCGTCTTGTCTTGCATGCATAAATAATAATCCCCCTCGGGATTATAGGTGACCAATCAATTTCGTACGTCTCATACCGCACGACAGTGGACTTACGCATTCCTCAATGCAAGTCTATATGATAACTTAATCATCGTGTGGCGACTCTCGACTATTAGCATTACGTTAATAGTCTAGAGTTATCGTATCAACCTTTTTAGGTTATACTTATTATTTAGACTTAGGTTGAGTATCAAATCCATGAAATGTCTTATCTCTACACAATGTATAATGTATGGTTGACTTCCTTGGTAAGAGAGGTGATTGTAAGAGACATAGTCCATCAAGTATTGCATATCTAGACCTCAACCATATACAACTAATAAAAATATTTCGTTTAACTTAAGTGATGAGGGATTGTTCTTTTAATTTTAGCTACGTTGTTGGCTTTGTTTTTTTAAACAATAATCAATTTCGTTTTTTAGTCTAATAATCACAATCATTAAGTATATATTCAATAAACAAATAAATATTTATAAAAATGATTAAATAACGTAAGCACAAATAAACCTTGAATATCATAGATCATCCCTATAACAAATTATTAAGGTCGGGATAACCAAGAGTTGATTTTCCTTACTTATTTATCCCTAGTAGAGCTTTGGTAACCACTACTATCATATATATTAAATTATTTTACACTAATCGTTCCAACGTGTACGGATCTTTTCCCCACCTTTTGTTGTTGAGCATTGTTGAAAGTCCACAACCGCTTCCTTCAATCTTTGGCAAGAACTTAATTTTTGATAATCATTGAATTGTAGGAAATTTATTAAAATTAGAATATTATTTATGATTAATTAAATATAACTCATTACAACTTGAAATATATATTTTAGAATATTTGATAATAACTTCCACTATATTTAAATAATGGTTAAATTGAAATATAAATTAGACTATACATCGTTTAAATTTGTTTGTTTTAGAAAATTATCAAGAGTATATTTCTAACAACATTTTAATTTTATATTAACATTTGAGAATTATAAAAACTTAAAGTGGTAAAATTTATCTTTTATTAGGATATCAGCTCGGACTTTATAAGTTCAATACTTCGACGTCTGAACAGAAATTTAAATAGAAATTTTAAAATAACCTTTATATAAATAAAATGGACATTATAATGACTTATAGTTGCTTATGAAAATGATTTAGGCAAAAAGTTGGCGTATAAGGTCAAACTTCTTCGAATCGATACCGTGAAAACCTCTATAACTAAAACTAGTATTACTATATGAAGAAATTAGAAAAGGAAAGAAATAGAGTGGTGTGAGAGATGATTTGTAAATGAATGAATGAATAAATGAAAATGGGGTGGAAAAGCCCCTTATTTATACTAGTTGCAAGATATTAAAATGATATATGTATATCTCATTTTTCCCGTATCTTTTAGTTTTTCAACCATGACTAGTAAATATGTCTTTATTAAATAGTTACTAGTCTTTCATCCGTAGTTCCTACCAAGGTTGTCAAACTCACGAGTCTACTCAGACTCGTAAAGGGT